TATATCATCTCATTCTCTCCTGGCATATAAAGTTTCTGCTGAGAAACCTGGTTAGTCTGATGTGGGTTCCTTTATGAATGACTAGATGCTTTTCTCTTGCTGTTTGTAAAATTCTTTATTTTTGACTTTTGACAATTTGACTATAATGTGCAATGGAGAAGACCTTTTTGAATTTTATCTGTTTGGGGATCTCAAGCTTCCTGTATTTGGATGTCTAAATCTCTTGCTAGACTTGGGAAGTTTTCAGCTATTACTTCATTAAATATGTTGTCCGTCCCTTTCATTTTCTCTTCACCCTCTGGGACAAAAATTTGAATATCTGATTGCTTTATACTCTCCCATATGTCACATAGGCGTTGCTTATTCGTTTTTATTCTTTATTTTTTCTGTCTGGGTTATTTCAAAAGACCTGCCTCCAAGTTCTGAAATTCTTCTTCTGCTTGAAGCTGTTGTTGAAGTTTTCAAATGTATTTTGTATTTTATCAGTGAATTTTTAAGTTCCAGGATTTGTTTGGTTCTTTTTTATATGTCCTTGGCAAACAACTCATTCACATCCTGAACTGTTTTTCTGATTTCTTTGTATCTTACTGAGCTGCTTTAATATCATTATTTTGAATTCTTTTTCCAAGATTTCATAAGTTTCTTTTGTATTGGAATCTGTTGCTGTGTTCCTTTGGAAATGTTATATTTCCTTGCTTTTTCATGTTTCTTGTGTCCTTACCATTGATGTCTGTGTTTCTGGTGTAATAGTCAATAGTTTTTTGAATTTGCTTTCACAGGGGAGGACTTTTTCCTGATTTATCTATGGCATAGTATGGGCACTTTGGCTTTGATTTTGGGTGCATGATTTCTTTGGCCATAAACAGTGTTAGTAGTGTCTGATATTTTTTCAGTGGCATAGGGTGTGGTTTTTAGTTCCTGTGGTGGCTTGCTGAGGATGGGGACGTTAGGTGGGCCAATCCTCAGGACCCCAGTGATGGCAGCAGTGGGCCAAGTGTTCCTGTCCATGTGTCCAGTGGTGGCATATGCTAGTACCAGTGTTAGTGGGTCCAGGTAGGCTGATTCCTGGGCTTCCAGGTGGCTTGCTCAGGTGCTGGCAGGAGCAACAGTAGGCTGGGCAGGTGGGTGAGTCTTTGGGCCCATGGACAGTGGGTGTGGCGTGGGTAACCCTCTGACTCCCAGGTGGTCTGTGCTGGTGTCAGGCTGGCTGTGATGGACTCGGTGGGCCAATTCCCAGGCTCGCAGGTGACCCATGTGAATGGGTGTCAGCTGTGGTGATAGAAGCTAGCTGGGTGGGCCCATCCTCAGACTCTCAGGAGGAGTGTTCAGGTACCAGTAGTCGTAGATAGGGAGGCTGATCTCCCAGTCCCTGGTTGGCATGCTTGGGCACCTGGGGTGGGCGCGGGCCTGTCCTCAGGCCACTGCAGTGGTGTGTACAGGTACTGGCTATGGTAGACAGGGGCAGGGTGATTCTCAGACCTCTGGCAGAATGCTTGGGTGCAGGGGTGGCAGTGGCTGCACTGTGGCCCTGCACCTGGGGACATGGGGGGCAAAAGCCTGTTCTCAGGATGCTTGTAAATTAACAGTGGCAGCGCTACCGAGAATGGTGAGGTCACTGCTAATGGCTTGCATCATAGCTCTGGTGGCGGCAGCCAGCTGTGATTCTGGCTGTGTGCAGAGGATGTCAGTGGGGCTCCAGAGATCTGCAGGTGCAGGGACTCTTGGGCTCCAGGGCAGGATGCAATCTGGTGGGGGCTGGGTTCTCAAATATGGCACCTTGCTGTAGCTGTAGGACTTGGAGCTCCCTCTGGAGCAGTGCCATTTTATGGGCTCCAGCCAGCACCCTGTTAGTCTCAGGGCCTGGGTGAGTTAAGGGACTCTCCTAATGGCTAGGACTGCATGAGTCTGCATTGGGAGTGTGGACCACTGGGGGTCACTCACTGGAAGCCTCCCCAGCCAAGCAGGCAACGTGGCTTTCCTCTCCTTACTTTAGCTGTTTCCTGCCACTTGTCTTGAATTCCAGTGTTCTCTCGTAGGTGATCTATTTGAAGTATGCTTATCTACTTATTTTGGCTCTACTTTATGGAGGAGGCGAGTACCAGATTCTTCTAGTCAGCCATTTTAAAGCCGCTCCATTGTTTTCCACTAAATGTCTTGCTCTCCTCGAGTAACCATAGCTTTTGCTTCCTCTTAACTTTAGTTTTGTAAATAATCTGTCACGTACCCATTAGGTGCTTTCTACAACTTCTAAAAATAGAGAGCTCCTTCATACTTCCAGGATAAATTCCAGAGGGAGAATACAGCCCAGCAGATCACTGGGAGAGGCCGGGTATAAGTCATCTAGTCAGTGCCCTTTCAGAAGGCAAGGCTGCATGGTCCAAATAGGGCTGCTTTTTTACTTGTCTGTGAATAGGAAATTCCCCCCAAAAGGGGAATTTGAAAGTAATAGGCACTGCTACTGAGCTTGTTCGATACCACACACAGTATTGGTCAAGGAGTTCTGCATGTTATCATAACTCTTAAAAAGTAAACATCCGAATGCCTTACTTAGGTTTAGTGAATATGTACTTGGCAAGTGGCATATATATGGGGAAGGGGTTAGAGTGGAGTTTGTAAAGGAAGGGACCTACAGATATACAGCTTGTTAGTATTAAAGCTGGCATTAAAGTGTGAGCTCTGTCCCTATAGCTAGTTCTAATAGAACAATGCTGAGAAGCTTCAGACAGTGAACTTCTCTGAGGCAGTTAGAGAAAGTTGGAGGAATGGAGCTTCTTTCCTTTTAAAGGAAGTCATGACAAGTATTTGCTTTGCCCAAAATCAAGGTGGAACCACAGAAAGAAAATCACTGTGTTTTGTTGAACCTACTCACACAGGAGGTTTTGGGCTATCAACATGGGAGGAGAGAAGCCAAAGTCTAGAGTTCTGGGCATGTCCACTACGGAACTCAGGTGACCCAAGGTCCAAGAAACTCAGGGTGTTTACTAGCTTGGGCTCTCGTGAAATGGAAGTCTTCACAGGGATGGCTGTATGGGGTGCCTGGCCTTCACCATGCTACACCAAGTATGCTAGTGCCAGGGAAACACAGTGCAGGCACACAGGAAGCGCATTCAAACAGCCAGCTTCACTCATATGTCCTGAGAATTGTTCTGTGACCAGAGACTGCACTCAAGTCAATCATTAGTCACCAGAGGAGCCAAAGTCTAGAGTGTAAGGTCAGGTGTAAAACCCACAATCAGAGAATCCCAGAACCCTCTCAGGATGAAATAATTTGAGTCCATGGTGTCTTACTGATGGGAGAAAGATCTATTTTTGGGTAGATGTGTAAGGAGAAAACCAGCTACTTAACAAGGGTAAAGATTTTGCCTAAAGTATTGGAGCTTATTTGATTGCTGATCTGTAAGTGAATGTTAATTCTTTTCACTGGGATGTTAGGAAAGAAGTTTGGGTAAAATTATACATGACATATCAAAGTCAGGGTTGTTTGGAAGAAAAGTATCGTTAGAGGGATGTTTGAGTTGTGAAGACTGTGAAAATCCTACCTGAGTTTCCTTTAGGTTGGAAGTACAAAATGGGACCAGCTTACGTCCATTTGAGAGTTTTTTCTTGCTTTGTCATAAGCAAAGAGTTCTCCCTAAGATGTGTATTCATAATTATTTGTAATTCCTGGGTATTTATTTAGTCTGAAAAAACTATGCTTTTAAATGTTGTATCAAAAGGCAGCCAAATAACCAAATGGGGATAGCTGAACTTTTTGACAATAATACCCAAACCTTGGTTTCAGCTGCAGTCAAGGAAATTTTCTCCTTAAAATGAATAGCTTCCAATGGAGGTAGAAATGAAGTGAATCCTGAGATAAGGTTCTTACTTACTTTTTTCATGGCTTAAGCATCAAAAAACAAAAATGACTGCAGAAAGGCAGTAGCACTTAAACTAGCTATGAGTCAGAGTCAGTTAAACAACTGGTATGCTCTTTTAGAACAAGATGCTTATACAAAGTAGCTGATAAAATTAGCCCCTGGGTCTTTGCCAGCTGCTAGGAACTGAACACCTACAGCAGTGCCCAGAGAACTGGGAATGGATTTGTGCATCTATTTTAAACAGGCAGTGGCAATGGGCAGAGCCATGTCAATTATTTGAGGACTGCATTTAATTAAGTCTGAATCATAAATTACGGAACAGAATCTTAAAAGTGAATGTTAAAAATTGTTATTAGATAGAAATTAGGCAGTTTTTATTTTTCTTAATAAGAGCAAACTGACTCTAAAAGAGTTGTTTCTACATAAAAATTGTTAGGTAGGGATGTACCTAAAGTCAAAGGCAGGCTAAGACAGGAAAGGGAAGTTCTTAGGTCTGATTGGTGTATAGGAAAGTAATAGAACTTAAACCAGGAACAGGCGCTATTGAAATAAACTCCTTTACTGGATCATGACTAAACCACAACCTGTATTATTTATCTAGGCAGTACCTTAGATATAAGTACAGATTATTTATTCTCAGTTGCCCTGTTAAATAGTTTGAGGCTAGCAGAGCTCTCAAGTAAATTTTTTGGTGAAATATTAAAATAGCCCCTAGATAGGGCAAGGACAGCCCATGCTCAGAATGCCAGCAGTTTACCCCAAGACTCAGAACTAATGACAACACTGGCCTTTGATGGTCGGAATTATAATCCAAACTGTGAGAGGAGGAGCTGCCCTTGAAATCCTGTCTAGAAAGTCATAAACAAGGACCCTTGCCTTGTTTACAATTTAAAGGGTGGTGTTGCTAGATTGGTAATAAATTCTTGTAAACAAAAGTTGCCAGGGCAACAGTTTGTTTTTTTTTTTCCCTTTAAAAGGATTAACCTTTAGTCTTTAATATGTACAAGAATGCTTGCCTAAAAGTCTTATTTCATATAATACTTTAATAATAATTTAAATGCCAACCCTTCAGAGGTGTGGTGACACTTAAGATAAAATATAAAATTGGTATGTTAAATAAATTATTTTTATCTTTTCTATTAGCTTTATCTTCAAGCCAGGATGAAGGGAGACTGGGCAAGACTCTTACGCCCCACTCTGCAGTTTGGTCTAGTTGCTGTATCCATTTATGTGGGCCTTTCTCGAGTATCTGACTATAAACACCATTGGAGCGATGTGTTGACTGGACTCATTCAAGGAGCTCTGGTTGCAATATTAGTTGTAAGTATACAGGGGACTACATGTTGATATTGCTAAACTTTTGGATAAAAAGACAGACAAGAAATCCCTAGTGAGTTAAATACCCAAAGGCAGAGAATATGGTTCAGTAATTCCTAGTGGGTAAGAATCATGTGTTATTAAGTCATTTTAGGATAGACAACAGGTAAAAACTAGGTTACTCTTTTGCAAAAGTTATAAAAATCTTAGTATTTTTATTGTAAAAGGCTCTTGCTATAAACAGTTTTCTTTTTGGTGTGAATTGAAAAAGCTAATTTACATGAAGTTAATAACTAAGTGTTGGCAGAATGAAACTGTTTGCTGACAAAGTTGCTAACAAAACAATTTGGAATAATCTCTTTTAAAAAAGAATTCCTATTAGCCACTAATTTTTTATATCCTTAAACTATACCCCTCCAAGGTATATACTTTTGTTTATATTTATTTTAGGAAGCTGCTTATTGCAACTTTGTATATGGTTTTTAAACTTAAATTTTACCCTGTTCTATATAGGCCGTATATGTATCAGATTTCTTCAAAGAAAAAAGTTCTCCATTTAAAGAGAGAAAAGAGGAGGACTCGCATACAACTCTGCATGAAACACCAACAACTGGGAATCACTATCGGAACAATCACCAGCCTTGAAGGGCTGCATGGTGCCCAGATGAAGCTGGCCTGCTTTCTAAAATTGCAACCAGAAGGCAAGAGGATGCCTTTCCACCCAGTGTACAGGCCTTAATGGACTGCTGCTGCTGCTATGCCTCTTGGATGCCCACTTTATTGTGTGTATATAGTTACATTTAACACAATGGTTATCTACTAGCTCTGAGTTCATTAAAAAATTTCAAGCCTTTCACCAAAACACTGCCCCACCTGTACATTTTTTATTAAAAAAATGTAATGCTTATGTATAAATGTGTATGTCATATGCTTTCACAGAATGATGTTTGCTTAAATATAATACACATTAAAATGAGGATAACCATCTTGAGATAGAAGCAAATCACTTGTAGGCATTTGTAGTCAACTGTAATCACACAGGTGATGAATAATCTAAAATCCCACATTCCTTTAGCTGACTTGTTACAAGTAGAGGCTGGCAGCAAACACAATATCTCTCTTGATTTTGGTGATTCCTAAGAGAAAAGATAATAAGATTTAAGCTTTCAAGACCACAAAACATCTTCTCTCTACTGGGGTTGTAGAAAGATAGCACAGCAATCCTGATTAAACTGGTTGAGAGCGCAGCCTGGAAAATAAAAAAAACTTGCTGGACACCTAGGGCAATTCACAGCCAGCTCCAAGAGGAAGAACACTTAGAAACAAGACCTCTCTGTTCTTTTGATTCTGAGGTACCCACGGGGATGGTGGTGTCTAAAACTATTCAGAAAGACAAATTCTAGGAAGGACTAACTGTCAAAAGGAGTGAGTTGATCCAAAAGCTTGGATTTGCAACCTATATCAATATATTTCTAATTACCATGTGAAATTCTTTCTGCATTAAGGCAGGACAAGTACAAATTTTATTTATAACTTATTTTTTTTGAGACAGAGTCTCACTCTGTTGCTGTGGCTAAAGTGCCATGGCATCAGCCTAGCTACAGGCATGTACCACCATGCCCTGCTTATTTTTTGTATATATTTTTAGTTGTCCAGATAATTTCTATTTTTGGTAGAGACAGGGTCTCACTCTTGCTCCCAGCTGGTCTCGAACTTCTGAGCTCAAACGATTCTCCCACCTCTGCCTCCCAGAGTGCTGGGATTATAGGCGAGAGCCACCACACCCAACCACTTATTTTTATTTTTAAAAAAGAATAATTCCTAATAAATGCTGCCTTTTTTTTTTTTTTGAGAAAGAGTCTCACTCCATTGCCGTGAATAGAGAGCCATGGCGTCACCCTAGCTCACAGCAACCTCAAACTCCCAGGCTCAAGCGATCCTCCTGCCTCAGCTTCCCAGGTAGCTGGGACTATTGGTGCATATCACACAATACCTGGCTAATTTTTCTATTTTTAGTAGAGACGGGGTCTCACTTTTGCTCAGGCTGGTCTCAAATTCCTGACCTCAAGGAATCCTTCCTCAGCCTGCCAGTGTGCTAGGATTACAGGTGTGAGCCACTGTGCCCAGCCTATAACTTATTTTTTAAGAACTTTCATACCTATACTTAAACCCTAAGTGATTAAATAGGCCTGCCTCTATCAATAATGTGGAAACCCAGTTTCTGCAAACTTCTTAAGACACTAAGTTGTTAGCAGAAATCATTAGCATCAACTGGCTTAGAGCAACAGTGTGGTTGCCGCCTTTGATGCTTTAACTTGTGGTCCTTTTTCTTGGTCAAGATTCGCTGAAATGACAAAGCTACTCACAAGCATGTTTATGCCTGCTGTCCCCACTCTGCCTCATCACTACCACCCTGGCCTAGCCATCCTGTATTGATCTGGTCTCCTGGCTTCCATCTTGCTATTCTATCGACTTGCCCTCGATCCAACAGCATTATAATTAAATATATATCAAAAAATATATAATATATAAATTATATATAAATATATACTAATCTTTTATAACTCTCATAACAATTAACCTTGTATTATAAAATCCAAGTGACAGCACAACACTCCTGTGCTCCTAACCTCCAGTCACTACAGAGTAAAAAGCCTGGGCCTAAAAGCTACATGATCATTTTCTTTCTCCCTCTCAACCAGTGCTACTCTGCTCCAGCCACATTGGCTTCTTGCTGTCACTCAAGTATATCAAGGGCCCAACTACCACTTCTACCCCAGACCACCTTATCCACCCCCCAATTCCCTATTGTCTTTTTTTCTATAGACTTACTACCATTTGATAAATTTAATTAGACTTGTTTACTGTCTCCTTGCACTTGAATGTTAGCTCCATGGAGGCAGGGGTTTCTGTTCTTTTGTTCACTGCTGAACCCTTCTAGTGCTTCAAACATTGCCTGTCACATAGTAGGTGTACGGTAAGTATATGTAAATGATACATATATAAAATCTCAACTTTTCCCCCACACACTAAAATGTCACAGAAACACTAGCAGATGGTTCTCGGGGACAATCCAGTAAACAGCATCAAAATGTCCTCCTAGCTTGTGGTCAAGGGCTCAAGTCTCACAAGATTTGCCTAAATTATTAGAAAAAGCTTACGAATTAGATACTGACCTTCTGCAAATTTATTTTCCAGCTCAGTGTTTCCAATGGCTTTTGCTGCTTGACACATTTGTCGAAGCAATTCTTCCAGGCGCCTCATACAACGAATTATGCTGCCTGGACAGAAAAGAAATCACTTGTTAAATGGACATAATCAGGAACAGCAGAATTGTTGTTATGAGACAAGGCAGGAGAACATGGGATAATTATAATAAGTAATAAGGGATTTCCCATGAAGTAAATCAGGTGGTAAACTTGACTGGCTGCCTGCTAGGCATTAGAAACGCTACAAAGATGAAAGGTTTAATTCCTACCCTGGACTAATGGTAGAGACAGACATGGATCGATTAATAAATAATGTGTAGACACCTGCTATTAGAGAGGTAGGTAAACAAAATGCCCTGGGAACAGAAAAGAGAGAAACTTTGGGTGAAGACTGGCCAAGATGACTTTCAATCTATGTAAGAATGAGGCACTCTCTACAAGGGAAGGCCACTGAAATGCAGAAAAGCCAGACAAACTGCAGCTATTCAAGGACCCTCTGTGGCCCACTTAGGCATCTAGATACCACTCATACTATCCTGTAGAGGAGAATGCAATAGACTTTTAAGCAGGAGAGTAACAGATTAGATTTGTCATTTTAAAGGTGCAATCATTCATTTCTTGACCTTAGACTCCTTCATCAGTGCTTTACACAGTGTGTCCTCAAGGAAGCACAAAAGAGACAACCCTTTTCCCATGGGTCTTGACTCTCTTGAGAAAAGTGTTTGTATCAATGCTAAAGAAGCAAGCATAGTTTTACTTTTGTCAGACTTGGGCAAGGAGGGGCCTGAGATCCTTTCTCTAAGTGCTACCTACCTAAATTAAAACTCTCAGGACTTCATTTTTATTATTTGAAGTGCATTAGGAATAGCAGTTCTCAAAATGCAATCTGTAGAAACAATGAAGTCACACTTTAGGTCTTTATTAACTCCTTGCAACACTGGAATAAATCATTAACATTCATAAAGTTCTTATATTCATTCCTTAATGTTGAGAGTTACTTTTTACCTTTTAATGCCCTCCACATTATGTATGTGTTCCGGTGTGCCCCAAGGGGGAAAAACAGCTAAGTGATTTAACTCATGATGCAGAATGGAGTTTGAGCTTGGACAAGGGCAAAAGTACAGCTGTTTACCTAACAGCACAGTCCAGCGGGAAGTTCACATGCGTATGCAAAGCACCCTCTCTTCTAGTGGGCATGCCAGGAGCCCGAGGAATATCATACCAATGCCCTGGACCAATAAGGACAAAATCTTTAGTTTCTGAACACATCTATGAGCCACAGCAATGAGAACACAAAGTTGCTATTTCAGGCAGTAGTAGGTGTATGGGATGAGACTGGTCAAAGGGGAAGACCACCATCAATATATAGGTCCCTCAAAAGAGAAATGTCCCAGTTAAAAGGATGCCATCTCCTACCTGGATGTTAACCTACTTTAGCTGTAGTTCACAAGAGTGAGCCAAGGAAAGATGGAAACCTGGGTTGTAGTCCAGACTCTGCTGCTAAGTAATTAGCTCTGTAATCTAGTCCTTTAATCCCATTCTATCTTCATTTTTTCATTTGTAAGATTAATAAAACTTTTCAAGAGGGCTTGCTCTACTCTGGATTTGTCTCACTTGAGAGAAGAGATACACAAATTCTTTGAAAAGGGCAAAATCTCTGAAGGAATGTAAGGTCATAAAAGATCCAAAATATTCAACAAAGTCCATAGCTTTCTTGTCCTCTCTCATCTCCTCGATCAAAAGGCCCACACAGTGTTGGAGAAAACCTCCAGTCCTCAATTACAGAGTGTTTCCATTATACAACTGTATGCAGTTATTTAGCTCCTAGCACAGGAAAGCTCATTAGATGAGAGTCAATAGCAAAAAGCAATAGCCAGAACAGAGAAACAAATTATACATAAAATTCCAACATCAAACACTAGGGGCAAGAGTGTACCTCAAGTGAACCTGACACCCACACATAGGCACCCTGAGGGCTTTACTGTATTCTAGGAGAGTAATCGATGTTTATGAAGACATTCAGGCATCAAGGAAAGGTGAAATTAAGTTGAATATGTTTTGGGAAAAATCAGTGATGTCCAACATTTCCCGAGCACTTATTTTATGGCCGGTCAGTACTCTATATATTTTATGTGAATTTTCTCTTTGTTTGGTCCTCACAGTTCCATGAGAGAAGTACTGTTACAAAGAGAGAAAAGGCAAAGTTCAGAGAAGTGACATGTATCATTTGATCAAGGTCAGAGTCAGGATTCAGGATGTGAATCAAGGCACTAAAATTCTAGACCTCAAGGATATAACCACATTTCATAATAGAACATCACACAGAAATGATTTTTCTATAACATTTATTACTTTTATAAATTTTAATTTATATTCAGTCTGTACATTTAAAATAGGAAAATATTATAAATATTTTAGTATGCTTTTGGCCTTATTCTAAATTCCTCACTTCAGTAGAAATCTTCATTGCTAGATAATGCCAAAGAATTTACACTAATGGGTTGCAAGTGTAAGGAGTACACAAATGACAAGTAGGATGAAGGGTCTTTCTGAATTTGGCAATTAGACAGTCATTAGTGACTTGTGGTAATTTCAGTGAGAGAGCACAAGATTACTGTGGACTAAAAAGGAAATGGGAGGTAAGGAACTGAAGGTGGTCTTTCCTTGATTATGCTTTCCAAAAGCCTGGCTATAAAAGGAATGAAGGATTGAGGGTGGTGACAACAGCCAACAATATAACTGTTAATAAAAATGACAACAGCTAACATGTATTGAA